CCCCTACTCACCTCAGCTGCCCTTCCCTACTCAGCTCAGCTGCCCTTCCCTACTCAGCTCAGCTGCCCTTCCCTACTCAGCTCAGCTGCCCTCCCCTACTCACCTCAGCTGCCCTTCCCTACTCAGCTCAGCTGCCCTCCCCTACTCACCTCAGCTGCCCTTCCCTACTCAGCTCAGCTGCCCTCCCCTACTCTCCTCAGCTGCCCTCCCCTACTCACCTCAGCTGCCCTCCCCTACTCACCTCAGCTGCCCTCCCCTACTCACCTCAGCTGCCCTCCCCTACTCAGCTCAGCTGCCCTCCTCTACTCAGCTCAGCTGCCCTCCCCTACTCAGCTCAGCTGCCCTCCCCTACTCACCTCAGCTGCCCTTCCCTGCTCAGCTCAGCTGCCCTCCCCTACTCACCTCAGCTGCCCTTCCCTACTCAGCTCAGCTGCCCTCCTCTACTCACCTCAGCTGCCCTTCCCTACTCAGCTCAGCTGCCCTCCCCTACTCACCTCAGCTGCCCTTCCCTACTCAGCTCAGCTGCCCTCCCCTACTCACCTCAGCTGCCCTTCCCTACTCAGCTCAGCTGCCCTTCCCTACTCAGCTCAGCTGCCCTCCTCTACTCAGCTCAGCTGCCCTCCCCTACTCACCTCAGCTGCCCTCCCCTACTCAGCTCAGCTGCCCTCCCCTACTCACCTCAGCTGCCCTCCCCTACTCACCTCAGCTGCCCTCCCCTACTCACCTCAGCTGCCCTCCCCTACTCAGCTCAGCTGCCCTCCCCTACTCAGCTCAGCTGCCCTCCTCTACTCAGCTCAGCTGCCCTCCTCTACTCAGCTCAGCTGCCCTCCCCTACTCAGCTCAGCTGCACTCCCCTACTCTCCTCAGCTGCCCTCCCCTACTCAGCTCAGCTGCCCTCCCCTACTCTCCTCAGCTGCCCTCCCCTACTCTCCTCAGCTGCCCTCCCCTACTCTCCTCAGCTGCCCTCCCCTACTCTCCTCAGCTGCCCTCCCCTACTCAGCCCAGCTGCCCTCCCCTACTCACCTCAGCTGCCCTCCCCTACTCAGCTCAGCTGCCCTCCCCTACTCTCCTCAGCTGCCCTCCCCTACTCTCCTCAGCTGCCCTCCCCTACTCAGCCCAGCTGCCCTCCCCTACTCACCTCAGCTGCCCTCCCCTACTCACCTCAGCTGCTCTCCCCTACTCACCTCAGCTGCCCTCCCCTACTCTCCTCAGCTGCCCTTCCCTACTCAGCTCAGCTGCCCTCCCCTACTCAGCTCAGCTGCCCTCCTCTACTCAGCTCAGCTGCCCTCCTCTACTCAGCTCAGCTGCCCTCCCCTACTCAGCTCAGCTGCACTCCCCTACTCTCCTCAGCTGCCCTCCCCTACTCAGCTCAGCTGCCCTCCCCTACTCAGCTCAGCTGCCCTCCCCTACTCAGCTCAGCTGCCCTCCCCTACTCTCCTCAGCTGCCCTCCCCTACTCAGCCCAGCTGCTCTCCCCTACTCAGCCCAGCTGCCCTCCCCTACTCTCCTCAGCTGCCCTCCCCTACTCAGCTCAGCTGCCCTCCCCTACTCTCCTCAGCTGCCCTCCCCTACTCTCCTCAGCTGCCCTCCCCTACTCAGCCCAGCTGCCCTCCCCTACTCAGCCCAGCTGCCTTCCCCTACTCAGCCCAGCTGCCCTCCCCTACTCAGCTCAGCTGCCCTCCCCTACTCAGTTCAGCTGCCCTCCCCTACTCTCCTCAGCTGCCCTCCCGTACTCAGCCCAGCTGCCCTCACCTACTCACCTCAGCTGCCCTCCCCTACTCAGCTCAGCTGCCCTCCCCTACTCAGCTCAGCTGCCGTCCCCTACTCTCCTCAGCTGCCCTTCCCTACTCAGCTCAGCTGCCCTCCCCTACTCAGCTCAGCTGCCCTCCTTTACTCAGCTCAGCTGCCCTCCCCTACTCAGCTCAGCTGCACTCCCCTCCCCTACTCTCCTCAGCTGCCCTCCCCTACTCAGCTCAGCTGCCCTCCCCTTCTCAGCTCAGCTGCCCTCCTCTACTCAGCTCAGCTGCCCTCCCCTACTCAGCTCAGATGCCCTCTCTACTCAGCTCAGCTGCCCTCCCCTAATCTCCTCAGATGCCCTCCCCTACTCTCCTCAGCTGCCCTCCCGTACTCAGCCCAGCTGCCCTCACCTACTCACTTCAGCTGCCCTCCCCTACTCAGCTCAGCTGCCCTCCCCTACTCAGCTCAGCTGCCCTCCCCTACTCTCCTCAGCTGCCCTCCCCTACTCAGCTCAGCTGCCCTCCCCTACTCAGCTCAGCTGCCCTCCTCTACTCAGCTCAGCTGCCCTCCCCTACTCAGCTCAGCTGCACTCCCCTACTCTCCTCAGCTGCCCTCCCCTACTCAGCTCAGCTGCCCTCCCCTTCTCAGCTCAGCTGCCCTCCTCTACTCAGCCCAGCTGCCCTCCTCTACTCAGCTCAGCTGCCCTCTCTACTCAGCTCAGCTGCCCTCCCCTAATCTCCTCAGCTGCCCTCCCCTACTCAGCCCAGCTGCTCTCCCCTACTCAGCTCAGCTGCCCTCCCCTACTCAGCTCAGCTGCCCTCCCCTACTCTCCTCAGCTGCCCTCCCCTACTCTCCTCAGCTGCCCTCCCCTACTCAGCCCAGCTGCCCTCCCCTACTCAGCCCAGCTGCCCTCCCCTACTCACCTCAGCTGCCCTCCTCTACTCAGCCCAGCTGCCCTCCTCTACTCAGCCCAGCTGCCCTCCCCTACTCAGCCCAGCTGCCCTCCTCTACTCAGCCCAGCTGCCCTCCTCTACTCAGCCCAGCTGCCCTCCTCTACTCAGCTCAGCTGCCCTCCCCTACTCAGCTCAGCTGCCCTCCCCTACTCAGCTCAGCTGCCCTCCCCTACTCAGCTCAGCTGCCCCCCCCCTACTCAGCTCAGCTGCCCTCCTCTACTCAGCTCAGCTGCCCTCCCCTACTCAGCTCAGCTGCCCTCCCCTACTCAGCTCAGCTGCCCTCCCCTACTCAGCTCAGCTGCCCTCCCCTACTCAGCTCAGCTGCCCTCCCCTACTCTCCTCAGCTGCCCTCCCCTACTCTCCTCAGCTGCCCTCCCCTACTCTTCTCAGCTGCCCTCCCCTATTCAGCCCAGCTGCCCTCCCCTATTCAGCCCAGCTGCCCTCCCCTACTCACCTCAGCTGCCCTCCCCTACTCACCTCAGCTGCCCTCCCCTACTCTCCTCAGCTGCCCTCCCCTACTCTCCTCAGCTGCCCTCCCCTACTCAGCCCAGCTGCCCTCCCCTACTCACCTCAGCTGCCCTCCCCTACTCACCTCAGCTGCCCTCCCCTACTCACCTCAGCTGCCCTCCCCTACTCTCCTCAGCTGCCCTTCCCTACTCAGCTCAGCTGCCCTCCCCTACTCAGCTCAGCTGCCCTCCTCTACTCAGCTCAGCTGCCCTCCTCTACTCAGCTCAGCTGCCCTCCCCTACTCAGCTCAGCTGCCCTCCTCTACTCAGCTCAGCTGCCCTCCCCTACTCAGCTCAGCTGCCCTCCCCTACTCAGCTCAGCTGCCCTCCCCTACTCAGCTAAGCTGCCTTCCTCTACTCAGCTTAGCTGCCCTCCCCTACTCTCCTCAGCTGCCCTCCCCTACTCAGCCCAGCTGCTCTCGCCTACTCAGCTCAGCTGCCCTCCCCTACTCACCTCAGCTGCCCTCCCCTACTCTCCTCAGCTGCCCTCCCCTACTCAGCCCAGCTGCTCTCCCCTACTCAGCCCAGCTGCCCTCCCTTACTCTCCTCAGCTGCCCTCCCCTACTCAGTTCAGCTGCCCTCCCCTACTCTCCTCAGCTGCCCTCCCCTACTCAGCTCAGCTGCCCTCCCCTACTCAGCCCAGCTGCCTTCCCCTACTCACCTCAGCTGCCCTCCTCTACTCAGCCCAGCTGCCCTCCCCTACTCAGCTCAGCTGCCCTCCCCTACTCTCCTCAGCTGCCCTCCCCTACTCACCTCAGCTGCCCTCCCCTACTCACCTCAGCTGCCCTCCCCTACTCAGCCCAGCTGCCCTCCTCTACTCAGCCCAGCTGCCCTCCTCTACTCAGCTCAGCTGCCCTCCCCTACTCAGCTCAGCTGCCCTCCCCTACTCAGCTCAACTGCCCTCCCCTACTCAGCTCAGCTGCCCTCCCCTACTCAGCTCAGCTGCCCTCCTCTACTCAGCTCAGCTGCCCTCCCCTACTCAGCTCAGCTGCCCTCCCCTACTCAGCTCAGCTGCCCTCCCCTACTCAGCTCAGCTGCCCTCCCCTACTCAGCTCAGCTGCCCTCCCCTACTCTCCTCAGCTGCCCTCCCCTACTCACCTCAGCTGCCCTCCCCTACTCACATCAGCTGCCCTCCCCTACTCAGCCCAGCTGCCCTCCCCTACTCAGCTCAGCTGCCCTCCACTACTCTCCTCAGCTGCCCTCCCCTACTTTCCTCAGCTGCCTTCCCCTACTCTCCTCAGCTGCCCTCCCCTACTCTCCTCAGCTGCCCTCCCCTACTCTCCTCAGCTGCCATCCCCTACTCAGCCCAGCTGCCCTCCCCTACTCACCTCAGCTGCCCTCATCTACTCAGCCCAGCTGCCCTCCTCTACTCAGCCCAGCTGCCCTCCCCTACTCAGCCCAGCTGCCCTCCCCTACTCACCTCAGCTGCCCTCCCCTACTCACCTCAGCTGTCCTCCCCAACTCAGCTCAGCTGTCCTCCCCTACTCACCTCAGCTGCCCTCCCCTACTGACCTCAGCTGCCCTCTCCTACTCACCTCAGCTGCCTTCCCCAACTCAGCTCAGCTGTCCTCCTCTACTCAGCTCAGCTGCCCTCCCCTACTCAGCTCAGCTGCCCTCCCCTACTCTCCTCAGCTGCCCTCCCCTACTCTCCTCAGCTGCCCTCCCCTACTCTCCTCAGCTGCCCTCCCCTACTCTCCTCAGCTGCCCTCCCCTACTCTGCTCAGCTGCCCTCCCCTACTCTGCCCAGCTGCCGTACCCTACAGTGGGGCACGGCCGGGGCACGTAACTCTGACTCTGGCCCCCAGGTGGCGGTGCACGAGATCGGTCACGTGCTGGGACTGAAGCACGAGGTGAGGAACTACTCCATAATGTACCCCGTCTACGAGAAGACCGTCCCCAACCAGGGGCTCGAACTGGGGTGGGAGGACCGCAAGTTGGTCCAGAAGGAATACGGCTCCTGCATCGGCGCCTTCAACACCGTCTTCGACTTCCTGCGGTGGCGGGCCGACGGCTCCCTCACCTACAACACTTACTTCTTCAGGAAGGACCACTACTGGATGTATGAGAATAAGTGAGTTGGTCCGTGTGTGTGTGTATCTAAGTGTAGTTACAGGCTCAGAGCTACGCTTGTGGTGTCCCGTCTTCCCAGCACTCTTTGGCATGTAACGCTCTGAACTACTGACGGTTTTCCTTCTCACTTAGCTTGTTCCAACCGTCTACCTCTCTGTGAAAGTCAACTTCCTAATGTTTTTTTTCGGCACCTTAACTTTCTTAGCATGAGTCTGTGTCCTCTTGTTCGTGAAGTTGCTGGTTTCATGAATTCCTTTTTGTCGATTCCTGTTATTATTTTATATGTGGTGATCATATCACCTCTTTTTCTTCTGTCTTTTAGTTTTGGCATGTTTAATGTCTGTGGTCTCTCCTCGTAATTCTTGTTTTTCAGTTCCGGGAGCCATTTTGTAGCATGCCGTTGCACCTTTTCCAGATTCATTACATGCTTCTTGAGATTTGGGCACCATACAACTGCTGCATATTTCAATTTCTGTCTCACAAAAGTCATGAACAGTTTCTTTAGTATTTCACCAGCCATATAATTAAAAGCAAGTTTGAAGTTGGAAAGGGACGCATATACGCTCCTCTCACAATGTTCTTTATGTGTTCCGCTGGCGACAACTTACTATCCAAGACCACCCATAGGTCTCGTTCTTTATTTCCTTTCCACATAATTTGTAAGTTGTGTGTGGTCTATTTGCTTCGATTCCACATTTCATAAGATGGCATTTATTCACATTGAATTCTATTTGTACCTTTACGCTCCAAGCACATATTTTATTTAGATCAATTTAAAGGACATTACAAACGTCTGTGTCTCCTATCTTCTCCAGTATCTTAGCATCATCCGCAAATATGTTGAAATAATTCTGTATTACTTCTGGTAGATGGTTTATGTTAGACGATGAACATTACTGGTGCAAGAACTGAGCCCTGTGGTACTCCCGCTAGTAACACTCCTCCAGTCAAATACTTTGTCTCTGATTACCGCCTTCATCTGTCTGTTAGTCTGAAAATTTTTCAGCCACGTCAGAAGTCTCCCTGTCACCCCTCCAGCATGTTCCAGTTTCCAGAACAGCCTCTTGTGTGGGACTCTATCAAAAGCCTTTTTTATGTCCAGATAGACACAGTCAACCCAACCACAATACTGCAGCTGCCTCTTTTAGGCTCCATGGTGAGATCTAGTTTGGGCTCCTCTAATTGTCCAGTTCCTCTATGTGTCTCCCCGCCATCCGATGTCACTTGTATTTTTAACGGTTTATCTTCTGGTAAAATACATTTCATTATAAACTAGATATATAGAGGCAGCTCTGGTTCCAGCTTAAAAAACATTTTGAGGCTTTTATTTAGTTCTTGGCACACTTCCTCATCACTTACCGACACCCTTCTCATATGACTATGTAGCAGTTTAAGCTGATCCTTAGCCCTTGGCTGCTATGTCATTCTGTGCTGCGTGCTTAGTTCCTGTCCATCCTTTGTTTCTCTTATGTATATGTTGTGGTTCTCGTCCCTTTCGTGCACGCTTTGTTACATACACTCTTGCTTCTCATTAATACATTCAACCTTTTTTACTTAACCTGGAGCATTATTTGTGGGGGACTTGTTTACCACCTGGGAGCACCTGGATGTGTTCCTCCAGCAGCTGTATACTCAATAGTTATGAAGCCCATGGTGACTTGTGTCTCTGTCCCTCGCGCCCTCTGTCCCACACTCTGTGTTGCTCACTATTTCCTCTCTCTCTCTAGTTCCTCCATCTTTCTACTGAACCTTTTCTCTCCCTAGTACAGCACGTCCTTAACCTTTAATCGACCATTGTATCATATTCATCTCAATTCTTACATCAGTCATCTCTTTCCTGGTTGGTGGTGCTTCTGCTACTGCCTCACCTGCTGCCTCGCCTGCTGCGTGGGTCTGTTCCTGCCTCGCCTGCTGCATGGGTCTGTTCCTGCTTCACCTGCTGCCTCGCCTGCTGCCTGGGTCTGCTCCTGCCTCAGGTACAACCGGACAAGGTTTGGTGACCCGCTGTACATCCAGCCAGAGTGGCGAGGTCTGCCCAACGACGTGGACGGCTATGCTCACATCTGGACTCGTACCAAGGATGCCCACCTCTTCTTCCAGGGTACGTGCCTACATCTTGCTCGTCTTCCTATGCTTAGGGAACGTCGCGCCAGGCCTAGGGTGCCATACCCACCATGCCATGCCCAGGGTGCCATACCCACCATGCCATGCCAGGAGTGGGTATGGCAGGTTAGCGAGTACTTTTTGTTTTTTGGAACATTACTCGCTGCTCCTCTACGCTTAAAAATGTAGAGAATCTGTCCTGGAGTCCAGTTTTTTTCGTAAAACCGTATCAAGTTAATTTTCGGAGAATGGTTTTATTGGGAGCTTATCTATTTATTACTGATTTATTTATATCTATATACAAGAAGGTACATTGGGTTTATGAGAGTACATAGCATTGATGTTTTTACAGACTTGTAAAGGCACTAACACGCAGAGTGTTTCGGGCAGATCCTTCTGAAAGATAATTTTAAGTAGGTAATTTCTAGCAAAATTGAGAAATGTTAACAGGTACATTGTAGCATATTTTGAGGATTATTTCGAGGTATAATGTAATAAAATATGCGTTCAATATAACAACCATGAGTTTGTTAAAGAGATCTTATGTAGACAAAAATATATGCTCTATACCCTTTCAGTAGTAAATTTCACAGTTTCCAAGTTCGAAAGATATATTCATAAAAGTTTAAGTAATTCCTAGTGTCAGAAGTTAGTTCTTGGACCCGGCTCTATTTATTTTCAGAGATTTAGTTCCCCAGGTAGGCTGGGGAGGGTGGGGACAGAAGTGTGCAGGTCCCCCAGACTGGCTGGGGGGGAAGGGAGGGTCTGAGGCTATATATACCCAGTAAGGCTCCGCGTTTCTGTTCAGAATAATCAGGAAAATAGCGGAAATGACTCATAAAACTGTTGGCATTTGCTGAGGGCACGGTATATATAGGCAGGCTCAGGCCCCAATACAAAGGCACCCAGATTATACTCACATTTGCACTTTCTACAGACTCGTGTAAGTTGGTTTTATGAACAAAATGTTATAAATTATGAGCTCAGTTTAGCATTTATATGAGCATATTTACCATTAGTGGACGTGTAGCGTTACTGGCTGAGGGGCGATATGACGGTACTGTGACTCCCGCCGGGTCCTGTGGCACCCATATTTCCTCCCGGGGTGAAGGCATGGACCACAGCTTTGTGGCCATTATTGTTCGCGGTGGTCCTAACTCCTCCAGCACGCATGTCACAGGCTTCACTAAGAAATAATTAGGTAAACATGGCGTATTTGCCGGAGTGGCCAACAATTATAAACGTCAACCCAAGTAAGTGTCGTGTTGGGTGTAAGCGCAGGCGGCAATAAGTGGGTGTGACGGGAGGGGGAGAAACAAGTGTCCAGATCACTTACCCTGGCGGAGTGAGCGCGGCACTTTTTGCCGCGGCGCTACTTAATGGCGTCCCCGTCCACCGCTAGGCGTCTGTCCCACGGGGCTCTGACAGGATAGGGGAGAGTACGGTTACATCCTCCCGTCCACTGACAGTTTCCCTCACATCTACAGTGTCTTATAGTGGGCATGATGATGACAGCCACGGGGGAGGTGGAACAGCCGAGGTGGGACCACTTGTGGGACCACGAGGTGGACCACGAGGTGGGACCACTTGGTGGACCATGAGGTGGGACCACTTGGTGGACCACGAGGTGGGACCACTTGGTGGACCATGAGGTGGGACCACTTGGTGGACCACGAGGTGGGACCACTTGGTGGACCACGGGGTGGGACCACTTGGTGGACCATGAGGTGGGACCACTTGGTGGACCATGAGGTGGGACCACTTGGTGGACCATGAGGTGGGACCACTTGGTGGACCACGAGGTGGGACCACTTGGTGGACCACGAGGTGGGACCACTTGGTGGACCACGAGGTGGGACCACTTGGTGGACCACGGGGTGGGACCACTTGGTGGACCACGAGGTGGGACCACTTGTGGGACCACGAGGTGGGACCACTTGTGGGACCACGAGGTGGGACCACGAGGTGGGACCACTTGTGGGACCACTTGGTGGACCACGAGGTGGGACCACTTGGTGGACCACGAGGTGGGACCACTTGTGGGACCACGAGGTGGGACCACTTGTGGGCCTACTTGGTGGACCACGAGGTGGGACCACTTGGTGGACCACGAGGTGGGACCACTTGTGGGACCACGAGGTGGGACCACGAGGTGGGACCACGAGGTGGGACCACTTGGTGGACCATGAGGTGGGACCACTTGGTGGACCACGAGGTGGGACCACTTGGTGGACCACGAGGAGTGACCACTTGTGGGACCACTTGGTGGACCACGAGGTGGGACCACTTGGTGGACCACGAGGTGGGACCACTTGGTGGACCACGAGGTGGGACCACTTGGTGGACCACGAGGTGGGACCACTTGGTGGACCACGAGGTGGGACCACTTGGTGGACCACGAGGTGGGACCACTTGGTGGACCACGAGGTGGGACCACTTGGTGGACCACGAGGTGGGACCACTTGGTGGACCACGAGGTGGGACCACTTGGTGGACCACTTGGTGGACCACGAGGTGGGACCACTTGGTGGACCACGAGGTGGGACCACTTGGTGGACCACTTGTGGGACCATGAGGTGGGACCACTTGTGGGACCAGAGGTGGGACCACTTGTGGGACCACGAGGTGGGACCATATATTAGCATTGTCTATAATCTGACAAATGCCTCAGTAGTTCTGGTGTAGTTGAAGTAGGTCCCGCCAGAGGTCAGGTTGGGACACGTGGTTCTGTTGTTGTGTTGATTTAGGGGCGACGAAGATCGTGGGATCGGATGCGCCCCGGCTGCCCGATACCGGGAAATAGCGGAGGGATGGGGTCCCTATAGTCTCTTCAGGCCACGGACATGACAGATAAAGCGGAAGGTATGGTGAAGGATGTCATGACGGACGTCTTCGTCTCTCGCACCTGCCCCGTCAAGGAGAACGGGAACTGTGAGGCTGGGAATATTCAGCCTACGAACGGCACTATGTAGTCTGACACGAGCGCTATGAAATCGAGGGCAGTGAAGAAGAAGGTGTTCCACTGTATCCTCCTGGGTCTGACACCACTGGCAGTATGGGGAATCTACCATAGATTCGTAGACGATGGAGATGTATGGCCAGGCAGGTGTGCCCAATCCGGAGACGAGTGATGGCAGTGTCTAGGAGTCAAGAATGATGACGAGTCCATGGACGCGGGGTGGAATCCTCCCGGAGACCCACCAGAGAGGAGGACCTGAGTGCTGGCTCCATCATTGCCTCCCAACTCGCGAGGCAAGCCGTCCGGAGTTGCGGGAGAATTTCGGAAAGGTCTAGAGGTACATTTGTAGAGTCATGGAGAGCATGCGCCATCCCTGCTGCTGCGTCGGCGACCTCAATGCCATTAATACCGACATGTGACTGAACCCATTGGAGATAGATGGACCAACCTGGAGTACCAGAGTATGACAGCAGTTCTCCACGGATCTGTGACACAGTATGACGATGGACTCGTGGACGCCGAAATGATATCAGATGTAGGGCTGTAACTGAGTCCACGTAGAAAACCACTGCAGAGGGCCCTGAAACTTGTCGAAGGAGTCATAAGGCTAGTAAGATTGCAAACAGTTCCCCGGCCAGGCACGAATGAGCAGGGGAGAGTTTCCACATCTGACAGAAAGAAAAAGGAGCAAAGTATGCTGCAGCAGATGTAGATGGTGGCTGATCTTTGCGGGACCCATCCGTGTAAACCTCCAAGTATCCAGAGTATAAGGAGGCTTGTAGGTCTGCAAAAATTAAAGGGGCCAAACCCTCAAAATCTCTCTTCCGACGAGGAGGCTTGGAAAAGTCCACAGAAACCCGGATGAGCTCTTCTGCCCACGGAGGCACCGGTGAGATGATCGGGCCAGGGGTGAGTACAGGGACGGGAAGGGAAAGCTGTGAATATGCATCTAAGGCCCGGACAACGAAAGGAAACTGACGACGTCCAGCCGGCACATTCCACCAGTTAGCCTCGAGCTGGAGGCGAGTAAGTGGATGGGTAGCAGGGAGACGCACTATCTGTTGAAATTGGCGGCAGTGGGCGAGAAGACGTTCAAAGCTCAGAGGCCATAGCCCCGACTCAGCATGGAGAGAAAGAACTGGCGAGGAGGGCATAGCTCCTAGCGCTGAGTGAAGGGCACCATTTTGAATGGGATCCAGCCTTGCCAAGACAGATGCTGCTGCTGAGCCATAGACTTCACTCGCATACATGATCTTGCTACGAATGAAGGCCTTATAGAGAGCTAGGAGCGACTCCCGTGAAGCCCCCCAAGCCGCAGCAGAGAACCGTTTCATAATGTTCATGCAACGAAGGCATGAGGCCCGAAGGTAATCCACGTGGTGCCTCCACGTCAGCCAAGGGCTATCTAGAACGACCCCCAGCCACCTGTGTTCCGTAGCGATCGGGAGACGACAGCCCCCGAGGGTCACCACTGGCTGGTCTGGTAAGCGGGTCCAGGTGAAGCTCATGACGCAACTTTTCACAGGGTTAATGGAGAGCCCCTTCCCTAGCACAATTGCTAAGAACACAGTCACGGCATTTTGCAGGGAGCCTTGTGCCTCTAGGAGAGTGGCACCATCCGCCACGAGGGTTACATCATCGGCATAGGCTAAAACCTGGACCCCCCAGAATACAGGGAGATCAGACAGAAGAATGGAGAATAGTAGTGGGCTCAGAATCGCTCCCTTGGGGACACCACGCGAGACAGGGCGAGACGTAGAGATGACTCCACCAACCGCCACTTTGAATGAGCGGCCCTGTAGATAGTTTTGAAACCACCTTAACGCCGGACCCGAGAGACCTAGTCGGGCCAAACTCTGAAGGACAGCAGAATGAGAAGCAGAGTCAAATGCACTCTTGATGTCGAAGAATGCTGCAAGGAGCACTCTTCTCCGGCGATAAGTATCCATTATTCGATGTTCCAAGGAGAGGAGGCAGTCCATCGTGCTTCTTCCCGGCCAAAATCCACTGATACCCTCAGGTAGGAGACCTGAGGTTTCCACCACCCATTGTAGCCGGGTGTGAACAAGACGTTCCATCAGTTTCCCGAAACATGGAAGCAGACTTATGGGCCGATATGAACTCGGGACAGACGGATCCTTCTCTGACTTGGCCAATGGTAGAAGAATGGCGTGTTTCCACGGGGCAGGGAAGACACCAGAGGACCAGCAGGTGTTGTAGAAGTAAAGGAGGTGGGACTGAAGGATCTTGGGTGCCCTCCGAACAAATTCATATGGGACGTTGTCTATCCCTGGCATAGTGCCCGACCTAGATGGTGATAGAGCGTCCTTCAGCTCAACAGAAGTAAATGGGTGATCCAGGTCCTGAGCTAGTCCTATACCCTGTCGGGAGCCCCATCCTATAGAACTCACAGAGAGGAGCGGAGAACGGTAAACATCCTCAAAGTGGTCAGCCAAGAGTTCGGCTATTTGTGCTTCCCCCAGGCCCCCATTACCACTGGGGTCTCTGAGTGGGATGGAAGGCCGGGAGTACCTACCTGTCATCTTACGAACAAAGGCCCAGGCTCCCGCAGAGGAGGAGTCGAATCGGAGAGAGGCACAGTAATCAGCCCAGGCCTTGCGTTTGGCAAGGAGGACTGTTCGTCTACACCTGGCGTCCGCCCTGTGGAAGGTCTGCCGCTGCAGTGGAGTAGGGTGGCGCCGCCACGAATTCCACGCATGTCGCCGGTCCAGTACTGCCTGCCGACATTCAGGAGTCCACCACGGTGCCCCACGGCGGGAAGGATTGGTTGTCTGGCCACTAGTCCTCCTGAAATGCCGAGAGCCTACACTGAAGAGGGACTCGGAGAGAGCATCCGCTGACCCATGCAGATCTGCAGTAACTGGGGGAAGGGTCGACCAGTCATCTGCCTCATAGCCATGCCACCCCTCTTCCGGGAGGTCAGAGCAGGACGAACAGTGCCCCCGAAGGAGATGACGATGGGCAGGTGATCACTACCCAGGTAGGCCCGGTCCATATCTGCGCCATCGTGAAGGGGCCTCTTCCAATGCAAAGATCGAGCGTTGAAGTATGCCCATTTAGCGGGTCTATCCGAGTTCCCAAGCCTGGCGGCGTCAGTAAGGAGAGGTCTGGGGAGTCAAGGAGAAACTGAAATAGGGCTCGGCCAGCTATGTTGTGGTGGCGACCCGATAGCATAGGTTGCCATGATGAGTGCTGAGCGTTAAAGTCACCCATGACGAGGCAGGTGTCTGTGATCTGACCAAAATAGTGTTCTAGTTCCTTCTTCGTTACCGGTAGACAGGGGTTATACAGAACTCCAAAGGTGCCCCACCCATGGGAGAGGGCCACCTTCACTGCCATGAATTCTAAATGTCCACTTGGGAAGGAGTGAATCCGGAGCATGGAGCTCGGAACTGAGTCCCTGACCAAGAGGGCAAGTCCCCCTCCACCCCGTATTGGCCGATCTTGTCTATAGACCGAATACCCCGGCATTGTGAAGGAAAGATCGGCACTGTGAAGGAAAGATCGTCAGTAAGCCAAGTTTCACAGAGTCCCACGATCAACGGTGGTGCGCTGGCGATAAAATTGCGTAGAAATTGCGTCTTCTTAAATAAGGAGCGGGCATTCCAAAACACCACAGTATTTTCAGGATGGGGCGCCATTATCCCTGAAATACAACAGCTAACTTTTTGACCACCAGTGCACAGACGTCTCCAAAGGGGGAACCACTAGAAAAAGCCATAAAACCCTCATACAAAGTAAGTAAAATATGTGGTATCAATGACAGCCAGTCCAGAGGATGTTGATCAATGCTTCTCTCTGCCTGACGGAAGCGGTGATCGGCTCGAGAACTCTCTTGATGGCGCCTGCGACTGGTGGGTGCTTCACTCTGGGCCTCATGTTCCACCGGTGTCACAATCCCTTGGGAAGGTGCCTGGGGGACCAGAGGATCATCAGGGCTGTCTGTTGGAACAGTACCTCCTGATCGATGGGTGTGTCGACGACGCCCGTGTTGGCTTCTTTGGGGAGAGGCAGGAGGGTGACGAGTGCCAGGCTCCGGCCGAGACTGAGCGTCCATGTCTGTATCCGTGGATGAGTTTCCGTCAATGTCAAGGCTACCCAGGAGGGAAAATCGATTAGCAACCTGGGCGTATGAGGCATGTGACTGGGACAGGCAAGAGCGTCTGCTAGTTCCTACTTGGGAAGAGGCCCGACTAGGGGGAACCTGGAGGCGAGAAGAAGCGATAGGCTGATTGAGGGTGCGCAACTTCTGGAACAGCTCATGTCGAGGTGTCCCCGCTGTTTTATGATCGATGTCCAACTGGAGGGCCTCAAGATATACAGGGCAATTCTTGGACGTAACCTTATGATGGCCATGGCATAAAAAGCAGCGAGGTGCAGCAGAGCACCCACCGTTATCTCTGTCTGTATGGCCTGTTTTGCCGCAGTTTGCACGTGCTGCACTACGGCAAGTGAGGCAACTGTGGCCCAATAGATGACAAGCGTAACATCGTAAAATAGGGAAGTTGTAGGGCTGAACCTGATACGAGGTCCTGTGTAGTGCCACTTGGTCAGGGAGAGCCTCATCGAACTTTACATGAACCATGGATGTCGGCCCTGCTGCTCCGCGAATCCTGGTAACTTCCAATAATCTCGCTGATGCACCCCCTAACACCTGCAGAGCGGCCTGGATGTCATCCACATCTACACTCTGGTCAATTGGGCCAATCTTCCCATACCGGGCCCGAGACTCCTCCTGCGACAATAACTGTCGGCACCTGACAGGCAAGTCCCCCAACTTAATAATGTCGGATACACGGATGCGTGATAGAGCCTCCTTTCTGATATGTAACTTCAGTGCTGCACCCCTACCCAGGGTACTATGGTCTCAGGCAGGCAATGTGGCCACAAAACCGAAGCCTCAATTGCTGCACCTAAGGTACGAGGATTTGCAAACACGCACTGACCTGATTCTGACTGGATTAGGACTACCACAAACGAGGAACGAGGGGTACCACAAGACTAAGGTCTTCTGAAGGGGAAGACATCCTCTTAGCATCTCGCTCTGGGGCAGCATCAGCCGACTCATTTTCCAGCAGTCGTTTTCCTCTCTGGGACTTGTTGTCAACATCAATGGCGCCCCCGCTCGGGGAGGCTCCATTAGGGAGGCTCCGGCCTCCCCCGGTGCTGTGAGCCCCTGGGTAGCTGCAGTGAGCACACACTGGCCCAAAGAAGCCAGCTAAATTCAAAGATGAGCTCCAGGTAAGGTGTGGAAAGAAAGTTTAGCCAGGAGCGTTCAATCCGAGCGCCAAGTTGGCCGACCTTTGCGACACGTGGTTCTCTGCATGTTTACAAACAACTCGACAAGGGCCCCGACAAGGAGTCTTCGTATAAGTGGAACGTTTAGAAAAGTAAATATAAACTACATAATTTCACAGAAACTACGTTAGGTGGTCTCTCGTTCATAGAGGAGATAATGTATATATTTATTTATTTAATTATTTATTAATCTATTTATTTATTTATTTACATGAAGGCACAATGGGTTTGTGAGAGAACATTGCCTAACACTGTCATGGTCCCCAGAGTCCCTAACATTGTCACATCACAAGACAGTGTGACGTGTGGTGGTGGTGGTGGTAACAAGACAGTGTGACGTGTGGTGGTGGTGGTAACAAGACAGTGTGACGTGTGGTAGTAACAAGACAGTGTGACGTGTGGTGGTAACAAGACAGTGTGACGTGTGGTGGTAACAAGACAGTGTGACGTGTGGTGGTGGTGGTAGCAAGACAGTGTGACTTGTGGTGGTGGTGGTAACAAGACAGTGTGACGTGTGGTGGTAGTGGTAAGAAGACAGTGTGACGTGTGGTGGTGGTGGTAAGAAGACAGTGTGACGTGTGGTGGTGGTGGTGGTGGTAACAAGACAGTGTGACGTGTGGTGGTGGTGGTAACAAGACAGTGTGACGTGTGGTGGTGGTGGTGGTGGTAACAAGACAGTGTGACGTGTGGTGGTGGTGGTAACAAGACAGTGTGACGTGTGGTGGTGGTGGTAAGAAGACAGTGTGACGTGTGGTGGTGGTGGTGGTGGTAACAAGACAGTGTGACTTGTGGTGGTGGTGGTAAGAAGACAGTGTGACGTGTGGTGGTGGTGGTAAGAAGACAGTGTGACGTGTGGTGGTGGTGGTGGTGGTAACAAGACAGTGTGACGTGTGGTGGTGGTGGTAACAAGACAGTGTGACGTGTGGTGGTGGTGGTGGTGGTAACAAGACAGTGTGACGTGTGGTGGTGGTGGTAGCAAGACAGTGTGACGTGTGGTGGTGGTGGTAACAAGACAGTGTGACTTGTGGTGGTGGTGGTAACAAGACAATGTGACGTGTGGTGGTGGTGGTAACAAGACAGTGTGACGTGTGGTGGTGGTGGTGGTGGTAACAAGACAGTGTGACGTGTGGTGGTGGTGGTAGCAAGACAGTGTGACGTGTGGTGGTGGTGGTAACAAGACAGTGTGACGTGTGGTGGTAACAAGACAGTGTGACGTGTGGGTGGTAACAAGACAGTGTGACGTGTGGTGGTGGTGGTAACAAGACAGTGTGACGTGTGGTGGTGGTGGTAACAAGACAGTGTGACGTGTGGTGGTGGTGGTAACAAGACAGTGTGACGTGTGGGTGGTAACAAGACAGTGTGACGTGTGGTGGTGGTGGTAACAAGACAGTGTGACGTGTGGGTGGTAACAAGACAGTGTGACGTGTGGTGGTGGTGGTAACAAGACAGTGTGACGTGTGGTGGTGATGGAGGTCGTACCCACAGGTGAACACTACTACGTGTACGACCCGGAGGCTGGGGGCGTGGCCGTCGGGTACCCTCGCCGCATCGCCCAGGACTTCCACGGGCCGCCCACGCCCAAGCGGCCCCTCGGGCGCACCATCCCCAGCGACATCGACAGTGTATACTTCGACAAAAGGGACGAAAACCTGTACTTCTTCAAGGGCAAGAAGGTTAGTACATAATTACTGATCATGTTCTGTTGATGCAGGAAACTGTATTGTCAAAGCCATTCTACTTTAAGGTTCTAAGGCTGACAGAAGAGCAATTACTGACAGGCTGCTGTCGTTTAGTAATTACCTAAATGTTACCCAAGTGTAGTTACAGGATGAGAGATACGCTCGTGTTGTTCCGTCTTCCCAGTACTCTTTGTCATTCAACGCTCTGAAACTACTAACTGTTTTGGCCTCCACCGCCTTTTCACATTTTCTACCCTTTTTTTTCTCACCGTCTACCACTCTGTGAAAGTAAACTTTCTTATATTTCTTCGGCAGCTTTGTTTAGTTAGTTTAAAACTATGACGTCTTGTTCTTGAAGTTCAGGGTCTCAGGAATTATTCCCTATCAATTTTATGGATTACCGTTACTATTTTGTACTTAGTGATCATATCGCCTCTTTTTCTTCTATCTTCTAGTTTTGGCATATTTAATGCTTCTAACCTCTCCTCGTAGTTCTGTTCTTCATTTCCGGGAGCCATTTATTTGCATGTCTTTGTACCTTTTCCAGTTTGTGGATGTGCTGCTTAAGATATGGGCACCCACACAACTGCTGCATATTCCAGCTTTGGTTTAACAAAGGTTGTAGACAATTTCTTTAGTATTTCACCATCCATGTATTTAAAAGCAATTCTGATTCTGTTTCAAACAATTCAGTAGTAGAGCAGGCTACTCCAAGTACTGCAGGCTAATATAGGTTAATGAAGGCTACTGCAGACTACTACAGACAAGTAAGTAATTATCAAAAGAGGGCACCAAGCTGGGGAGGCTACCAAGAGAGTGGTACCAAGCCTCACTCCAAAGGAACGAGTAGAGAGGAAGAGAGGGAGATTATCACGAAGGCCAAAAGAACAGGGTTGATACAGAATATGTTATCTCCAGGTGGTGTCATATGCCTTTTCCAGGTCAAAAAGGACAGCAACGACGAGGTCTTTGCATCAAAGGCAGTACGAATATAGACCTCCAAGTTCACTAAGACATCAGTAATGCTCTGACACTTCCACAAGCCAAATTGAGAAGGGAAGAGGATATGATAGGGGTTCCAAGGATCACATCAGATGGACATTGACCATACGTCAGAGAATTTGTAGACGCAATTCGTTAGAGCAATGTGGCGGAAGTCTGTAGGGGGATGACCCTAGAGAACTAGGTTTCCGAATAGGAAGAACAACTGCCTCAAGCCAGTCCTCAGGGACTGACGACGACTCCCAGACACGCTGTTAAATATTCAGTAAATACTGAAACGCGCATGGAGAGAGATGGCAACGCATCTCATAATGAATGTCATCTAAGCCCACTGCCATAGAACCACAGAGGGTTTGGGCAGACTGGAGTTCTGAGAGGGAGAAAGAATCGTTATAGAGAAGCTGAAGATGAATGCAAAAATCTAAGGAGCAAAATTCAAAAAGGGGCTTGGGAGAAAGGAAAGAAAGAAGAAGATGAGAACCTGAGCTAACAGTCGAAAAGTGAGAATCCTGTTCGGTCGTCTTGAACAAACTTACCCACTACCTTATGTATTTCCTTCCAGATCAGGGGCAGAGGAGTGTCAGTGGTAATGGTGGTAATGCCATACGGATATGGCTCTATGGGACACTGCACTCACCTTCTGAAACAAAATAAGAGAATCGGGAGTCCATCGGCATTTCTTCCAGGCTGCACACTTACAGCGGACAGCCTGAGCACAGTCTGCAGTCCACCAGGAAACGCATTTCTGCACGCCCCAGGAGTTAGAGCGGGGAACAGAGCAGAGGGTAGTGTCGAATACGGTGTCATGAAAAAGGAGGAGGGCTCGCAGGAGAGGCAGATCAGAGAGGTCAGAAAGAGTGAGTATAAAGTGAAGAGGTTTTAGTCAGCCTTGGCAAACTGCCATCTAGGGAAGGAAAGGGGAGAGTGAAAAGAGAAGGTGCTAAGATGGGGAAACAGTCATTGTTATGGAGGTCATCAAGAACCCACCACGTGAAGTCTAAACCAAGAGAAGATGAACAGAGAGAAAGATCAAGATAGGAAAGGGAGTGAGTGTGGAAGTCCACACGAGTGGGTTCACCAGAATTCAGAAGAGACAGAGAAGAAGAGAGGACAAATGGTTCGAGAAGGTGGCCCCGGGTGTTTGTCAGAGCATCACCCCAGAGGGTATGCCGACAGTTTATATCACCCAAAAGGAGCACAGGCTCAGGTATGGAGTCCATCAGGTGTTTAAGATGAGGAAGAGAAAATGGGACATTTGGGGGAGATAAATGGAACAGACCGTATACCATTTACTCACAAAGATACAGGCTGGAGTACGTTGGATGGGAGACTGAAAAAGTAGGGGGACGAAGGGAATATCAGTACGAATCTAGATAGCAGCAGAGTTATGAGTCCCAGCAAAAGCTGGAGAGGGGGAGAGAAAGAAATAACCACAGAAGTGACCAGGACGAGCACCAAGCATCGGCTCCTAGAGACATACACAAAGCGGTGAAAATTGCATGATTAGAAGTTGGAGTTCATGGAATTTGGCATAAAAACCACAAATACTCTATTGAAGAATAGACAGATAAAAAGAGAGAGAACCAAAACAGATATAACAAAGGAGGAACAAAAGCAAAGAAGAACACAGTAGGTTAAGTAAGATCAGGATCAGTGAAATTGGGGTTATGGGGCATAGTTAAAGCTAATAAAAGCAATGGAGGCAAGGGAATGGGATGACGAACCAGATGCAAACTGACAGAGTCTAGAGCGGGAGGCGGAATCGGAGAGAATCAAGGGAATCGGGGCAGGAAGGACAGAAACAGGAAAGGCCACCAGATCAAAGGCAGCATCGAAGAGAGGATCAAGGACCAATCGAACCTCCATAGCAGCTATTAATAGGTTACGGCTATTGAAGGCCATGGGGACACACTACTCTTAAGAGCATGCAGTTTGTCACCATTAACAGAAGACCAACGAGCATGGACGGCTGAATGAATAACTGGGTAAAAGTCGGAATAAAAGGAGAGAGAACATCAACAGAGAACAATGAAGAAACAAAGGCAAAGAAGAACACAGCACACTAAAGAAGATGAAGATCAGGATCAGGAACAGGATCCGTGAAATCAGGGTTAGTAGCGATAAGACCTACCATTAATGTATAATGACTTACTGTAAATATATAGCTCTTGAAATAGCACTTTCTCTGTAACTAGCTGACATTGTAACTATAAGGTGTGAAGGATAGATGAAACTGTTTATGTAATAATCTAAGATGAGGTCTGATAAAGACCTTTTGTGTCCTCTGTAATGCTTTTTGCGCTACCGCTCCCAGGATGGGTATGGGGTGCACAATATACTAGCCGCCTCCGGTGGCAACAATCAAGGGTTAGGGGACATGGGTCAATTTAGTAAGGACGATGGAGTTAAGGGAGCGGGAGGACGGACTAGAGGCGGGTGGACAGGGTCTGGAGCAGGAGGAAGCAACGGAGAGAGGCGGTGAAGGGAAGCAGGGGGGGGGGGGTTAGAAACAGGGGACAGCAACCGAGAGAGAATCAAGGGCTAAAGGAACTGCTATAGCCGGGACAGGGGGGGCCCCATCCACCGAAATGGGAGGGGGATGCAGAGATAGAGACGGAGGTGGAGAGAGTGGAAGAAAGTGATGCTGTCTTACCTGCTGAGAAGGAAGAAAGAGAGGAGCCAGGTTTACGTTTCTGACAAAAAGACAAGTGTGCCGACGTACTGGGCGACAGTCTATTGTCTCAACAGGAGATGAAGAATAGGAGCGAACAACATGAAGATTGCTGGAAGGATGATGGACAACAGCCTGCACAAACAGACGGTGTGGAGGGCCAAGAGACAGGGGGAGAGGGCTGGGAAGAAGGAACAAGGGGGAGATGGGAAAGAAAACACAGGAGACATGGGAGACTGGGAAGGGAAGGGAAAGGAAGGTAACTATCAGGGGGGAAAGCGCCAAGCCATTACAACTATATAGCACTGGAAAAGGATCAGGATAAGGATTTGGGATGGGACGGGGGGAAAGGAATGGTGCCCAACCACTTCGACGGTCGGGGATTGAACGCCAACCTGCGTGAAGCGAGACCGTTGATCCACTATCCAGACCAAGTGATGGGAGACTGGAAAGAAAGGAGGGAAACACTAGATGGAGAACTAGGAGAAGGACCCTTTGGTTCAGAACGTAAAAGAACAGGAGAGAAGGTGGTGGGCGTGTCCGGGTCTAAGGCATGGAAACGGTTGGGAGACTGAGAATGGAAAGGAGAGGTGGAACACAGCACACGAGCACAAGATACGCTAGTGAAAGAGGAGAGACGGCGGACTTGGTGCTTCGCCTCACAAAAAAACAAACGATCATGGTGCATCAAATTGAGGACGGCTTCCTCAAATGTATAGTGTATACACACGCAGGAGAAGGTAGGGTGGGCTTGACCGCAATTTAGGCAGCATGCCTGGGGAGAAGAGCACTCCGTTTTAGAGTGACCCAAGTCCCCACACACGGGGCATAGAGACATTGCACTTGTGTAGTTGATGGCGCCATGCCCAAATTTCCAGCACTTATTGCAAAGTCTAGGGAAGGGAATGTACTCCTTAATGGAGCATCTGGCACCAGCAAGAATTTTAGAAGATGGAAGGGTCCTGCTATCAAAAGTGATCTTCACAACTCGAAGAGGCTGATGACGACAACAAAGGGGTTGGGTGAACGTATCAACCTGGAGGACAGAATGGCCTTGGGCTTCAAGGATATGTTTAATATCCTCGTGACAGTCTTTCAGGTCCCTAACACCAGTCGCAACATGGTGGGACAGGATAAGTGCCAGTACCAGCATTTAACCGAGCATTTTAGGAGATCCTAACAAAGGGTCTCCTCGATGCTGAACAATGCAGCTAAGCAGGTAGCCACCGAATCAACGAGGTGTTTATGGAGGAAGAAATCATCGGGAAGCATAGAATCCATATGGGTGAGATAAAAGTATTTATTCCATGTAGCAGGACCA